GTATATGTACCTCATTTTAAAAAAATTCATCCATCGATGGATACTTAGGTTGATTCTGTATCTTGGCCATTGTGAATAGTGCTACAGTAAACATGGGAGTGCAGATATCTCTTTGACATACTGATTTTGTTTCTTTTGGATATAGAAGTTGAGTATCCCTAATCCAAAAATCTGAAATCCAGAATGCTCCAAAATCCAAAACTTTTTGAGCACTGACATGATGCTTAGAGAATAATACTCATTGCACTATTTTGGATTTTGGGTTTTTGGATTAGGGATGCTGAGCTATAATGCAAATATTTCAAAATCGGGGAAAAAAAAATCTGAAATCAGAAATGCTCCTGGTCCCAAGCATTTTGGGTGAGGGATACTCAGTGTTTGTACCCAGTAGTTGGATTATTGGATTATATGGTAGTTCTATTTTTAATTTGTTGAAAAACCTCCCTACTGTTGTCCTTAATGGCTGTACTAATTTACTTTCCTAGTGCCTTGGTCTGTTTTGTGTTGCCATAAAGGAATACCTGAGGCTGGATAATTTATAAAGAAAAGAGGTTTATTTGGCTCACACTTCTGCAGGCTGGTAGCAGCATCTGCATCTGATGAGGGTCTCAGGCTGCTTCCACTCATGGCAGAAGGTGAAGGGGAGCTGGTGTATACAGAGAACATATGATGAGAAAGGGAACAATGGGGTGGGGAGATGCCAGGCTCTTTTTCACAACCAGTACTAATGGGAACTAATAGAGTGAGAAGTGATTCACTTCTGAGGGAGGGTATCAATCTGTTCATAAGGGATCTGCCCCTATAACCCAGACACCTTCCATTAGGCCCCATCTCTAACATTGGGGATCAGATTTCAATATGAAGTTTATAGGGATCAAACATCCAAATTATAGCACCTACCAACATTGTATAAGAGTTTCCCTTTCTCTGCATCCTTGCCAATGTTTGTAATTTTTTGTCTTTTTAATAATAGCCATTCTAAATGGGTGATGTGATATCTCATTGTGGTTTTGATTTGCTTTTCCCTGGTGATTAGTGGTGATGAGCATATTTTTCATATACCTGTTGCCATTTGTATGTCTTTTTTTTTTTTTGAGATGGAATTTCGCTCTTGTTGCACAGGCTGGAGTATAATGGCACGATCTTGGCTCACCACAACCTCTGCCTCCTGGGTTCAAGCGATTCTCCTGCCTCAGCCTCCCCAGTAGCTGGGACTACAGGCATGCGCCACCATGCCTGGCTAATTTTGTATTTTTAGTAGAGATGGGGTTTCTCCATGTTGATCAGGCAGGTCTCAAACTCCCGACCTCAGGTGATCCTCCTGCCTTAGCCTCCCAGAGTGCTGGGATTACAGGTGTGAGCCACTGCACCCGGCCTTGTATTGTCTTCTTTTGAGGGGTGTCTATTTAGGTCTTTTGTTCATTTTTAAATTGGATTTTTTTTTTTTTTCTGTTGAGTTCCTTATGTATCCTGGATGAGTCCCTTGTCAGATGCATAGTTTGCAAATATTTTCTCCTTTTCTTTGGATTGTCTATTCACTTTGTTGTTTCCTTTGCTGTGCAGAAGCTTTTTAGTTTGATATAACCCTATTTGTCTATTTTTGCTTTTGTTCTCTGTGCTTTTGAGGTCTTGTCCAGCAAGTCCTTGCCCAGACCTATGTCCTGCAGCATTTCACCTAAGTGTTCTTCAGGTAGTTTCATAGTTTCAGGTTGTACGTTTAAGTCTGTATTTTAAGTTGATTTTTGTAAGTGGTTAGAGATAGGGGTCTAGTTTCATTTTTCTGCATGTGAGTATTCAGTTTACTCAGTACCATTTATTGAAGAGATTGTTCTTTCCCCAATGTGTGTTCTTGATGCCTTTGTCAAAAATCGTATATGGATTTATTTCTGGGTTCTTTATTCTGTTGAACTATCGAAAAAAGAAATAAGGTAATACATTTTCAATAGCTATTAAAAAACACACCTAGCAATAAATTTAACTGAGGAGGTAAAGATCTCTGCAATGTAAACTATAAGTTATTGATGAAAAAAATTGAAGAAGACATAAATAAATGCAAAGAATATCCCTTGTTATATATCAGAAGAATAAATATTGTTAAAATGTCTATGCTATCTAAAGTGATCTATAGATTCAATGCAATCCCTATCAAAATACCAGTGATATTTTTCACAGAAATAGAAAAAAAGTTCTAAAATTTCTGTGGCAACACAGAAGACCCAGAATAGCCAAAGCAATCTTGAGCAAAAGAGCAAATCTGGAGACATTACATTACCTGATTTCAAAATATACTACAAAGCAATAGTAGCCATAACAGCATGGTACTGGCATAAAAACAAACACAGACAAATGGAACAGAGTCTATCATTTATTGAGGATTTACTTTGTGTCAGGCACTGTTCTAAGCACTTTATCGATACTGTATAATTTAATCATAATAACCTTATGAAGGTACTGTTACTATTTCTGTTTTATATATGAGGAAATTAAGACATAAAGATTTAACAAACCAGCCCAAGGTCAACTATCTAGTAAGTAGTTGAACTGGAGTTGGAATGCACTTAAAAAAATTGTGGCGAAATATACACAATGTAAAATGATTTTAACCATTTTAAAGTGTATAGTTCTGTGGCATTAAGTGTATTCACATTGTTGTGCAACCATTAACACCATCCATCTCTAAAACTTTTTAATCTTGGCAAACTTAAACTCTGTACTGACTAAACACTAGTTCCCTATTTTCCCATCCCCAGCCCCTGGCAACCACCTTCTTGGTTTTTCTCTGCGAGTTTAACTCCCCTAGGAGCCTCATATAAGAGGAATCATACAATATTTATCTTTTTGTGGCTGGCTTATTTCACTTAGCATAATGTCTTCAAGGTTCATTCATGTTGTAGCATATATTGAAATTCCGTGTTTTATTTATTTATTTTTATTATTATTATTTTCTTTTGAGATGGAGTTTCACTCTTGTTGCTTAGGCTGGAATGCAATGGCGCCATCTTGGCTCACCGCAACCTCTGCCTCCTGCATTCAAGCGATTCTCTTGCCTCAGCCTCCCGAGTAGCTGGAATTATGGGCATGCACCACCACGCCCGGCTAATTTTGTATTTTTAGTAGAGATGGGGTTTCTCCATGTTGGTCAGGCTGGTCTTGAACTCCCGACTTCAGGTGATCCGCCCGCCTTGGCCTCCCAAAGTGCTGGGATTACAGGCATGAGCCACCGCGCCTGGCAAAATTCCCTATTTCTTAAGGCTAAATAATATTCCATTGTGTGTATGTACATTTCATTTATCCATCTATCTGTTGGTAGACATGTGGGTTACTTCTACCTCTTGGCTACTATTAATGGAGCTGCTATGAACATGAGTGTACAACTATCTCTTCAAGACCCTGCTTTCACTTCTTTTGGGTATCTACCCGGAAGTAGAACTGCTGGATTGTATGGTAATTTTATGTTTAATTTTTTGAGGAACTGCTATATTTTTTGCCATAGTGGCTGCATCATTTTACGTACCATCAGTGTACAAGGGTCCTAATTTCTCTACATCCTTGCTAACACTTGTTACTTTCTGTTTTTTTTCCTTCATCCTTCCCTCCCTCCCTCCTTCCCTCCTTCCCTCCTTCCCTCCTCTTCCTCCTTCCTCTTCTTCCTCTTTTTTTTTTTTTTTTGAAATGGAGTCTGACTCTGTCTCCCAGGTTGGAGTGCGGTGGGACAATCTTGGCTCACTGCAAACTCCACCTCCTGGGTTCAAGCGATTCTCCTGCCGCAGCCTCCCAAGTAGCTGGGATCACAGGTGTGTACCACCATGCCTGGCTAATTTTTGTGTTTTTAGTAGAGATGGGTTTCACCATATTGGCCAGGCTGGTCTCGAACTCCTGACCTCAAGTGATCTGCCCTCCTCCGCCTCCCAAAGTGCTGGGATTACAGGTGTGAGCCCACCTCGCCTGGCCTTTTTTTTTTTTTTTTTTTAATAAAAGCCATCCCAATGGGTATGGAGTAGTATCTCACTCTGGTTTTAGTGTTTCACTAATGACTAGTGATGTTGAGCATGTTTTCATGTACTTATTGGCCATTTCTATATCCTCTTTGGAAAATGGCTATTTAAGTCATTGGTTCATTTTAAAATTGGGTTGTTTGGTTTTTGTTGTTGTTGAGTTGTAGGAGTTTTAAAAGTATATTCTGGATATCAGTCTCTTATCAGATATGTGATTTACAAATATTGTTTTCCATTCTGTGGGTTGACTTTCACTCTGTAGATAGTATCCTTTGACGCACAGAAGTTTTTAATTTTGGTAAAGTCCAGCATGTCTGTTTTTTTCTGTTGATACCTGTGCTTTTTGGTGTCACATCCAAGAAATTGTTGTCAAATGCAATCTCAAGAAACATATTTTCTTCTAAGCTTTATTTCTGTCTCTGTCTGTCTGTGCCTCTTTTCTCTGTGTCAGTTTGAGTCTGTCTCTGTATCTGTTTCTATATGTTTGAATATTTGCATCTTTTTTCTACATATTTATAAACCACCAAAACATATATGTATCATCTCTCTTTTCTTGCCTTATTTCTTCATTTTCCTTTTTTTTTGTAGAACTTTTTGAAAGTATTGCAGAAATCATGACACTCATGTATTTCCCAAAAATAATAGCATCTTTCTAAACTATAATTACTACTGCCTTTAGAATCGGGCACACAGGGCCCCTGCCTTGTGCCGTCTACTTTGGAGTGCCTTTCTTGAATTTTGCTAAGTCTCCCCGCTGCCTCAGTGCCTGAAACGCAGGGTGCCCCAAGCTCTTCTCTTTAGGAGTCTCATATTTAGAATTACAGTAAATTTCCTAATTATATTGAAAATTGAAGCCTAACTTTTTTTTTTTTGCTGATCTTATTGTTCACTACTGTGTACCATATTTTTCCTCAATTACTTATCTTTATGTATTTCTTTAACTGATTAGTGTGTACATATTTAGTATTATAGTCATTAATTACCTTTATTCTTCTGTCTCTCTAGTACTGAGTTGAAACTCTTGGAGGAAGCAACCATTTCAGTCTGCAGGTCATTAGGTAAGTGGGGAAAATGTGTGTGTATATGTGTGGGGCATTGTTTTCAAATTTGGTTTTAGATTTTGATAGTATATGAATTGAATTAATGAAGTAATTATTCTTCTTTGATAGCAGCAGTAGTAGTATTTTTTTCTATTCGTGGCATTCACAGATGCTGCTAGAAGATACCCTTCAGTCAATAGCAATATGACACATGCTTGACTGTGTCTGCAGTAGTGGCAGTGGACTCTGCTAAGCCATAGACAGTCTTTCAGCTTGTTCTTTTTGTGAATTTTGAAATACTGAAAATAATGTGATTTACCAACTGCTATTATTGACTATGTTCACCAGAATAATTATTACTTGTTAAAATCTATTAGGAATCTATATTAGAAAGTTTCTATAACAAATTGATATTATGGCAAAGAGCATGGAATCCAGAATCACTTTATGATTTTAATTTCAGCTGTGAGACTTATTAGCTGAGCTTTAATTTCCTCATATAAGTTGAGGATAAGGACAACTATTTACAGGATTCTTATAAGGAAAAATTGGGTAATATGAAATATTCTGTACAATGTGTGGCATGTAGTCATTGCAAACCATTTATATCAGCAAATGTTACCTTTTTCAGGTCTTGTTTTTCAAATGCTTAACTTTCAAGTTCGTAGCAATTGGAAGAAATTGTATATATTTTTAAAATGCAGGCAGTTATACTTAGATTGCATTGGTGCTTTGAAAATTAAAGATAATGTGTCTGTAAAATACCTAGTGTATAGGAGTATAATAAGTGAGAACAATATTCTGTTTTAAAATCAAGCTATATAGGCCGGACAAGGTGGCTCACGCCTGTAATCCCAGCATTTTGGGAGGCTGATGTGGGTGGATCATGAAGTCAGGAGTTCAAGACCAGCTTGGCCAAGATGGTGAAACCCTGTCTGTACTGAAAATCCAAAAATTAGCCAGGCATGGTGGCAGGCGCCTGTAATCCAGCTACTCGGGAGGCTGAAGCAGAGAATTGCTTGAATCCAGGAGGCAGAGGTTGCAGTGAGCCGAGAGGATGCTGCTGCACTCCAGCGTGGGAGACAGAGCAAGACTCTGTCTCAAAAAAAATTAAAAAAAAAAAATCAAGCTGTATGGATAACTCCCATATAAACTATTTTGCTAAAAACAGTTTTTGATGATTTTTTTTTTTTTTTTTTTTTAAAAAAGAGAAAGAGTCTTACTTTGCTGCCCAGGCTGGAGTGCACTGGTGCCATTGTGGCTCACTGCAGCCTTGATCTTCTGGGCTTCAGTGATCCTTCCATCTCAGCCTCCTGAGATGCTGGGGCTACAGGTGCATGGCACAACACCTGCCTAATGATTTTATTTTTTGTAGAGATAGGGGTCTCCTGTGTTGCTGAGGCTAGTCTTAGGCTCCTGGCTGCAAGCCATCCTCCTCCTACCTTGGACCCCCAAAGTGTTGGGATATTACAGGCATCAGCCTCTGTGCCTGGGCCCAAATATTTTTGTTTTTAAAAACAAACTATGTTGATAATGAAAAAGGTGTTATTGTAGTAGTTGCCTTGCCTTACAACCATAGCTTAGGGAATTTTTTGCTTAATAGAGCTGGCTTTCAAAAGCCATGTTGCAATTCAGTGCTGAAAATTAAGCAGTTTGATGTAACAATATTAGTGTAGTTACTGTGATAATGACTTTTAAGGTGACTTTGGGTTTTTATAAAAATTAAAAAATTAAAAGATGAAAAAACAGAAAAGTGTAACAAAATAAGGAAAGCAATGAGAAAACAAATAAAGAAAAAAATTACATTAAGAAAACCGAAAGTAGCTGGGAGTGGTGGCTGATGCCTATAATACTGGTAACTTAGGAGGCTGAGGCAGGAGGGTTGCTTGAGGTCAGAGTTCAAGGCCAGCTTGGGCAACATAATAAGGTTCCATCTCTACACACAAAAAAATTGAAAAAACTTAGCCAGGCATGGTGGCACGTGCCTGTAGTCTCAGCTGCTTGGGAGACTGAGGCAGGAGGATTGATTGAGCCCAGGAATTTGAGGCTGCAGGGAACTGTGGTGGTGCCACTGGACTCCAGTCTGGACAATAGAGCAAGGCTCCAAATCTAGGGGCAAAAAAAGGCAAGTAATATTTACTTATTATATATAATGTGGAAAGCATACTAAAATGTAAACAAGGTAGTAATTGCTCATAATTTGAAAACCCTGACATGGCATTGTTGATATTTTTGTATTTTTTCTTCTACTTATGCAATGGATGTAAATTTATATATATATCATCCACCATACAGACAGACACACACACACACACACACACACACACACATTTTAATCTGTGTTTTTCATTTGACATTGTATCAGGAATGTGTTCATGTTTTAAAATACTTTTGGGAACAGCAAAAAAAGATATACATTTATTGCTCCAAATTCCAGTAAATATGATGGTTCGGCTAAAATAAAAATAATTTCATATTAAGCAGTACCTATGTAATCGCTGCAAATCTTTAGTGACAGTTTCATATAAATGGTATTATTTATATTTTGTTTACACTCAGCAGCATGTCAGGAACCTCTTCACATCAATAAGTATAAGTGCATATCAACTTTAAGGGCTTTGTGAGTATGCTTAGTTTCCTTTTTGAAAAAAAAAATTTTTAAAGTGCTCGTCTACTGTCAACAATTTTCCTTCTCTTTTTTCTTTTTTTGGTCTGAAAATGTTCTATTTTTTTCTTCGCTTTTGAAGCATATGTTTTGCTGGATATAGAATTTTAGATAGACATTAATTTATTTTCCGTAATTTAAAGGTGTCATTTCGTTATTTTTTAGCTTTTCTTGTTTTTGTTGTGAAGAAAGCAGTCAACCTTATTATTGCTTCTTTGAAAATAATGGAATTTTTAACTTCTGGCTGCTTTTAAGTTTTTCTTTTTATCTTTTGATTTTCAGTAGCCTTAGAGTGAGGTGCTGAGGAGAAGTTTTCTTTGTTTTTTTGTTGCCTGAGGTTTGTAGAGATTCTTAAATCTGTGGGTTGGTGTCTTTTATCAGTATTGGAAAATTCTTAGCCATTATCTGTTTATATATAAAATTTTTGTTCTATTCTGTCTCTCCTCTCCTCCTGGTACACTTGTTATACTTGTGTTCAATGCTTTTGTTTCCATTGTGTTCCATATACTTGTTAGGACTTTTTTTCTTTTGTAGTTTACATTGTTTTTCTCTCTGACCTTCAATGAGATATTTTCTGTTAATTCATCTTTAGTTTCTAGTCTTTTCCTTTTTTTTTTTTTTTTAATTTTTATTCTGAGACAGTGTCTCACGCTTGTTTCCCAGGCTAGAGTGCAGTGGCACTATCACTGCTCACTGCAACCTCAGCTTCCTGGGCTCAAGAGATCCTTCCACTTCAGCCTCCTGAGTAGCTGGGACTACAGGCATATGTCACTATGCCTGGATAATTTTTAAGTTTAAGAGGTGGGATCTTGCCATGTTGTCTTGAGCTTCTAGGCTCAAGTGATCCTCCCATCTAGGCCCCCACAAAGTGCTGAGATTACAGGTGTGAGCTACTGTCCCTGGTACTCATCTTTTCTTCTGGTATGTCCCATTTGCTGTTAAAACTATCTACTGAGATTTTTAAAACAAGCTTTTAATTTTAGAATAGCTGTAGACTTATGGAAACATTTCAAAGCTAGTATAGAGCGGTCCTGTATACTCTTCACCTACTTCCCCTATTTTAACATCTTACTTTAGTGTGGTACATTTGTTTGAACTAAGGAATCAACATTGGTACAGATAAACCCCAGAGATATTGTGGGTCAGTTCCAGACCACTGAGATAAAGCCAGCATTGCAATAAAGTGAGTCGCATGAATTTTTTTGGTTTCCCCGTGCTTATAAATGTTATGTTTACATTATACCATGGTCTATCAAATGTGCAATAACATGTGTTAAATGTACATATCTTAATCTTATAACTGTATCACAAAAAAATGCTAACACATCATCTGAGCCTTTAATGAGTCATAATCTTGCTCGTGACAACATGACATCCAAGATCACTGATTCAACCAGGTGCGGTGGCTCACTCCTGTAATCCCAGCACTTTGGGAGTCTGAGGTGGGCATATCACCCGAGGTCAGGAGTTCAAGACCAGCCTGGCCAACATGGTGAAACCCCATCTCTACAAAAATACAAAAATTGACTGGGCATGATGGCAGGTGCCTGCAATCTCAGCTACTCAGAAGGCTGAGGCAGGAGAATCGCTTGAACCCGGAAGGCAGAGGTTGCAGTGAGCCGAGATCGCAGCATTGCACTCCAGCCTGGGTGACAGAGTGAGACTCTGACACACACACACAAAAAGATCACTGATTAGAGATCACTATACAGATATAACAATAAAATGCTTGAAATATTGCAAGAATTGGCTGGGCATGGTGGCCTGTAATCCTGGCACTTTGGGAGGCCAAGGCGGGAGGATTGCTTGAGTCCAGGAATTTGAGACCAGTCTGGGCAACATAGCAAGACCCTGTCTCTACAAAATACTAAAAGAAAATTAGCCAGACATGGTGACTCCTGAGTAGCTACTCAGGAGGCTGAGATGGGAAGATCTCTTGAGCCTGGGAGGTTGAGGCTGCAGTGAGCTGTGATCACACTACTGCATTCAGCCCCATAGGTGACTAAAGACCCGTTTCAAAAAAAAAAAAGAAAAAAGTAAGTAAATAAATATGAAGACATTTTGCAAGAACTACCAAAGTGTGATGCAGAGACATGAAGTGAGCATATGTTGTTGGAAAAATGGCGCTGATAGACTTGCTCACTGCAAGGTTGCCACAAACCTTCAATTTGTAAAAAATGCAGTATCTTTGAAGCACAATAAAGCAAAGCATGATAAAATGAGGTTATGTTAATTCTATTAACTAAACTGCACACTTCAGTCTTTCACTTGCTTTCTCCTAATGTGCCTTCACTGTTCCAGGATCCCACCTAGGGTGCCACATGACATCTAATCGTCATGTATTTCTCTGGTC